AGAGAGAGAGAGAGAGAGAGAGAGAGATAGAGAGAGACAAAGAGAGAGAGGGGGAGAGAGAGAGGAAGAGAGAGAAAGGAGAGAAAGAGAGGGAGGAAGAGAGAGAGAGAGAGGAAGAGAGAGAGGAAGAGAGAGAGAGAGAGAGGAAGAGAGGGAGGAAGAGAGAGAGAGGAAGAGAGGGAGGAAGAGAGAGAGAGAGGAAGGGAGGGAGGAAGAGAGAGAGGGAGGAAGAGAGAGGAAGAGAGAGAGAGGGGGGAGAGAGATAGGGAGAGAGAGAGGAAGAGAGAGAGGAAGAGAGAGAAAGGAGAGAAAGAGAGGGAGGAAGAGAGAGAGAGAGGAAGAGAGAGAGGAAGAGAGAGAGGAAGAGAGAGATAGAGGGAGGAAGAGAGAGAGGGAGGAAGAGAGGGAGGAAGAGAGAGAGGGAGGAAGAGAGGGAGGAAGAGAGAGAGAGGAAGAGAGGGAGGAAGAGAGAGAGAGGAAGAGAGGGAGGAAGAGAGAGAGAGGAAGAGAGGGAGGAAGAGAGAGAGAGGAAGAGAGGGAGGAAGAGAGAGAGAGGAAGAGAGGGAGGAAGAGAGAGAGAGGAAGAGAGGGAGGAAGAGAGAGAGAGGAAGAGAGGGAGGAAGAGAGAGAGAGGAAGAGAGGGAGGAAGAGAGAGAGAGGAAGAGAGGGAGGAAGAGAGAGAGAGGAAGAGAGGGAGGAAGAGAGAGAGAGGAAGAGAGGGAGGAAGAGAGAGAGAGGAAGAGAGGGAGGAAGAGAGAGAGAGGAAGAGAGGGAGGAAGAGAGAGAGAGGAAGAGAGGGAGGAAGAGAGAGAGAGGAAGAGAGGGAGGAAGAGAGAGAGAGGAAGAGAGGGAGGAAGAGAGAGAGAGGAAGAGAGGGAGGAAGAGAGAGAGAGGAAGAGAGGGAGGAAGAGAGAGAGAGGAAGAGAGGGAGGAAGAGAGAGAGAGGAAGAGAGGGAGGAAGAGAGAGAGAGGAAGAGAGGGAGGAAGAGAGAGAGGGAAGAGGGGGGAGAGAGGAAGAGAGAGAGAGAGGGGGAGAGAGATAGGGAGAGAGAGAGGGGGGGAGAGATAGGGAGAGAGAGAGGTACCTCTCCTGGGGCTAATACTGCATCATTCTCCCTTTAGTCACATGACCTAACGTGTAGGTCTTTGGACACATGATCTCTGCTGAAGGGGAAATCAGCCATTTGGACACTCCCCATCAACAGAAATCAGGTGACCAATACAGCCTGGTCTGGGACCCGACCCAGCCTGATACTGAACAATGAAGGAGCAACGGCACACAGGCAAGATCGTCACTCTGCTGTCTCCTCATAGGTAGGTCCTTATGTTAAACGGACAGCACTGTGCAGTGCCGTAGACTCTGATTGGCTGCTAGTGCTGGCCCTGGCCCTCACAGAGTGCTGCTGTGCAGGGGATTACTGGAGGCTAATATGAAGAGAATCTACCCAACGTGATAGGAATTCCTCTCTTATACAGTTGCCATTGGACAAGGTGTCCCTATTGGAAGAATCATCCTAACCTCTTGTTTTGGTGACAACTGTCAATTTTTGGATTTCACCTAGAGACAGGGCCGGTGCTGCCACTAGGCAAATTAAGGCGCAGTGCTACCTCGCGAGCAGCCTCGACCTCTCTCCCCCCCACGGTGCACACCCCCTCTATTTCAAATAGCAGATGCCAATAGCAGGCTTGCTATTGCACCCGCCCACTGGGCAGAGGAGCGATACTAAGAGACAACTTTCTCTCTCAGGTCCACTCCTCTGCCCAGTTGCTGGTGTTTCAATAGCCAGTCTGCTATTGGCTATAGGGGCGCAAAATAGTCTAGCACCGGTTCTGCCTAGAGAGGGGGGAATCTCCAACGGACAGCAATACATCCTTGGCAGAGGTTGGGATGCACCGATATATCGGCCGCCGAAACATATCGGCCGAAAATTGCACTTTTGGCATAATGCCGAAAGAGCCATGTTTCGGCCGATACATCGGGTCATCCCTGGTTTCTTTTCTCCCCGCTGGGCGCTGTTCCAGCGGGGAGAAAAGAAAGTGACAGCCGGCCGAGCGCTGCAGGAGTCAGGACGAGTTGGGCTTTCCTCTCTACATGGCTCGATCAGCCTCCTGTGACAGCGTGTCAGAGAGAAAAGCAAGATACACACACTCAGCGATCAGTGATGGCTGAGTGTGTGTACATAATTGAGGATATGGCATGTTAACTATAATCCTCAATTATGAATGAATGGGAGTGATCTACATCACCTCTACATCACCCCCATTCATTCATAATTGTGGTTATAGTAAACAAACAATGTCCTCATGTTATCAATGAACAGGAACACTCAGTATAGAAGATTCCTGATCATTGATAACAGGGGACACAGAAAAAGAGATTGAGGACTCTGTGTTCTCAATCCCCTTTTGCTATTCTAAAAGGGAAATATCAGGGGTCTGTTTAACCCCTTCGTGACTGACGACGTACAGTGTACGTCGCCAGCATCGGGGCTGTTTAAACAGACTCCCGGTGACTTTTGCCGCCGGGACTCTGTTTAAACTTGTAGAGCCGACTGTCGGCTTTACAACAGAAGCGATCCTGGCGACTTACCTGTCGCCAGATCGCTTCTGCGTCCCGAAGAAG